CCATTATGGATTCTTCAATAACCCCATCAGCACTAATCCTTCCATCTGAATGTAACCATCATTATGGATTCTTCAATAACCCCATCAGCCTGCTAAGCATCTCCTACATGCATCTCTACTGCCCTATGCATTATATCTCTCTATCAATCTGTATTTTAATCTCAGGAATTTTCCCCCCTTACCACTGGACTATGAACATCATGAGGGAAGAGGCTGAACCTTTCAACTCTATATGGTATCTTGAGGAAGTGCTAAATACATGTTTTTGAATGAAGGTACTCACTACTTCTCTGAGGGGTCTTCAAAAAACTGGACTATCTATTATAACTGTGGTTTTCAGTTGAATCCTAATATATGGAAGACACACAATGTTCCTGCTTATGTTAGTCATTTTACATAATAAAAGCAGCTTTCTCTCTTATGTCTTGGCTTCATGCAGTCATTTTGGGACTAGGATTGCTCTCTCATGTGGCTCTGTCATCTTCTGCAACTTCATTCCGCTCTATATTCAGCAGTGTATGGAAAATGAAGGAGAATGTGAGAGTCTGGAGTTGCACACATAACGTCAACCGTGTTTTATTGGCCAGAAGTCAGCCCAGTGACTTCAGCTTAGATGGAAGGAAGGCTTGGAAATGTAGTCTAGTTATGGGCTAGGAGAAAATAAAATGAAGTTTGGTTAACCCAGACTTGCACCTGCCACACTGCCATCTAAGGAAGTCTAGAATCTAGTTTTTCCTGTCATATAATAGTTTATATATCTCAACCCCCTTTTTTTTTTATCACAACAGATTGGCCATTAGTTACTTGGGACTTAATTGTCAACACATTCATCGGCTTGGAGTATGTATGTTACTTGCTATACTTTCTTAATGTGAATAGGAGCGGGTAGGAATAGTTGATTAAAAAATGCATTTTTTAAAAACTTAATAAGTAACTTTGTAACTTGATGACAGAAATAAGACAACTTTCTAAAAAATTATAATGTAGAAAAATATTTTTAAGGAGGAGATGGAGTTACCTGCCTTAATTCACATCTTAGCAATTAAGACTTGTCTATCAAGGTTTATTTTCTCTAGTTTTAGTCAAATAGCTATTTATCAGTCTTTCATAATAAAAATCATAATAGAAATAACATCATTTTTTTTCATTAAGTGTGACTTTTTTGTAAGACCCATTTCTTCTCCATCAATAATCTTTCAACCACTAACTGATCTGGGATGTGTTTTTTTTAAATGAAGCAAACCAAAGTAGGCACAATTAACTTACAATAACCAGAGGCAATTCAAAAGTTTTTCTTTCTTCATTGTAAGCAAATCTGCTTTAGCAATTCCTAAAAAATGACCAATTTAGCACTTGCTTTGAAGTATGTTTACATAAGAGTTTCAATAAAAAGATGACTATTCCTTGAGTTTTGTGTATGGTAAATATTGAAATTGAATTTTCCTTTGGAATACTCTGCTTTTCCTGTTCCCAAAAAAGGAATCATTATTTCGTAAATAAGATATGTGCCTCCATTTTACAGGTTTCCTCTGATTTCAAAAGCCCAAGTAGTCAACTGAAAGGGTTCATTCAAATCAGAGATATAAGACATAGTATATAATAATGCGAGGTATAATTTTTTTTAACTTACATCTACCACTGAGAACTTTATAAGTAGAGATTTAAGAGGGCAGGTTTGAGGACTGACTGGCCTCCTATAGTTTCCCCTAAACCTGAAAGATTATTATATCAAAAGTCAGCATTTCATTGCCCCCCTATATCCATAAAGAAAATTAAAATCATATGCTGCACAGCAAGCTTAAACCATTCAGAATGCTCATAAACATATTTAAAGCCAAAATTACAGCTGTTTCTCAACTCTCGGCACCACGTATAGCTCTAGATGCGGTTCTTACGTTGCTGTGCACACACTGTAACAGTAATTACTGTATTTTAAGCAGCACACTATTCTACAAGAGCATTTTTTTTGGTGGTGATACAGCAACCTGGTGACAAAGAGCCCCTCCTGTACCACGTAGCCGCCTTCACAAGTGAAATACTGTCCTTAATGTGCCCTTAATGTTCTTCCAGAGCCTTGTCCTCTTTTTCTAGGGAAGGGGATAACAGGTTCTCTCAAATATGCAACCAAAGAAAGTATTTCATGAAACATGTACTGTTTGGTAACCCACTGACAGCTTTTTCTTTCTAAATTTCTGATGCAATTTCAAATTTGGAATTTAGTTGATTGTGTATGAGTTTCACCGAAGGACTAACTGGTACCACTGGTAGCTCTAAGCTTGTGTGAGCACCTTTTCCTGTCACTGTGCTTTGAAATAAGGATGAATCAACAGTCGAACATGAACTTTAATTAACTTCCACTAGAACATACCATATGTTATACAGAGATGTAGGAAGTGTGAAATCTTTTGCAAAATGGAAATTTCTCCGAATCTGACAAAGTTGAAGTAAATTTATTATTATTTTATCCTTATTATTATTGTTTTATGTTTTCATTGTCTCTTTCACCCCCACTCTCAGAGTCTGAGGTATTAATAATTTGGTTAACAAGTCCCCAGTGAGAAAAGCAAAATGAACATTGAAGTGATGATGAACCATATGAGATAACACTTGCACTGAGAAAGTACTTACTGCGAGTTTATGGTGTTCTGAGTGTTTGATCCCAACTTTATCTATATTACCATCTAGCTAGTAGGATGTCTAGTAGGAAAGCTATAAGGTATGTTATGGTCTCCCTTTGCAGAAAGGTAAAGTGCGTGTCTAACCTTGCTGGTGGGAGCAATTATGCATAGAGTTAATACTTGGCAGCTCAAAGTTTAACGATTTGATTTGCACTAAGGACCATCTCCTAGTGATAAATTTGCAAGTTTGCTCCTTAGCTTGCATCCCAGCTCATTGAAATATTTAAAAAAAACAACAACAAAAATAACTCCCTGTCTACTAAGTGGACAAATTAGATGTTATCTACTAGGAATTCTCTCCTTTTGAGGAGTAAACATAAGTTATTCATTTATATATTAATTTGTATTCTCAAGAAAGGTTCTAAGGATAAACCTTGCTGAAAGACTTTGCTGTACAACCTCTAGGTACACTTCTAAGGAGCCTAGAAAGAGACTGGGCCTAGTATTCAAAAGGTCTTCAACAGAGTCATTGCCAGGGTAGAGAAATATGCTGAAGATTCCAACTTTCAGATTGTCCCTTTGGCCTGTAGAGATAGCGTTCATCTCTCCAGCACCATTCTTTCTAGAGAGAATCCAATACTTTGTTTTTAAGCAGAGAAAACCTGTCCTCAAGAAAAATCTTTCACAGAATTCTTTTATATAAAATCAGTAAGAGTAGAGTTGCTTTGGCAAAGGAGGTCAGAAGGACAGAACCTCCCTCAAATTCAAGAGCTCCATGTCTTGTCTTCCCCAAGTTTCCTCTCCTTGGAAACTTCAAAGGAAACTTATAGCTTCTCTGAACACAGTCTGAAAATTGTTGGCTCAAGACAACTCAGACCCCCTGGGACTCATTTTCCTTGACCCAAAAAGAAGTCACTCTTTACTCTCTATCTAGTCTAATAGAATAAGGGAGAATATTGGAAACTTGGTGTTTGAATGTGCTAGATATTTTATAATATAGATTTCCCTAAAAACAGTAAAATCTCTGTTTATATACAACAATAACTAGCAACACACATATATTTCCAAATATGGGAAAGAAAACTATGAATGCACATATGTGTGTGTTTACAGGATCAGAGCTATGCTTATGCAGAATAAGTAGATGTTTATGCTGTGTGATTGGAAAAGAACTTCCTCAGACAAAATATACTTCCCACTGGCCCTGTTGCATGTGTAGAGTCTCCCACTACCTATTACTTTGGGTAATGACAATTGTTGGAAAAGAAATAGGAGCTGAGGGATGGCTTATATTCTGCCATCATTGGCCGTTAATAGTTTACTTTCAGTCAATCCTTCAGAGAGAAAGATTGGGGGATGGGATGAAATATAGGACAGAGTCAAAGGAAATAGGAAGCATAGAGAAGAAGTTGGATTTGGTGGGAACATTATTTAGGCTGAATTTTGAAGGGAGGAGTTCTAACTGACTGCAGTGTGGCACAGGTTTGTCTGGGACAGTTGTACATTTAAAAATCAGAACTGTACAGAAAGGAGGTGTCGGGTAAGGGGAAACAAATCACAATTAGAGCAGATTAATTAGATAAAGAGGTTTATTTACCATGCACCCAAGGGAAGAATCACAAAGTGATTATTCAATATCCCAATGGGGTCCAGAATATTTTATACCCTCTTTTTAGAGGGGCAAGGGGGGGCAGTGGGGCGGGGGAGAGATGAGTAATATAGGTAATTCTGTTTAGGGGCAATAAATGGTAGCTAGGGAGGATGAATTGATGTATTGACTTATAAATGATTCTCTTTGCAAATTAAATTAACCTGAGAGACAGGTATTACATTTAAAATGATTTGGGCCAGATCTGGTTGCATTCTTGATCTTCTTTCCTGCAATATATTGAGACAATAGGGAAGGGAAGGGAAGTGGGTATTTTCTTTTTTATGGGTTTGTCTGGTTTATGAAAAGAGAGGGAAAGCCCCTTCCAAGGCTTGTTGATCTCTAAGGGCTTTTAATTCAAATTATTCCTTGTACCAAGAAGTCATATTTTGGGGTGAAATTTCCTGAGCTCCTTCAGAAGATAGAGGTGCTAAGGAAATCTTTGTTGCTGTAGCACTTTTTTTTTTTTTTAACTATTTAAGAATTTGTGTTGAGTATAACCTGTATCTACAATTAGTAAATAATTGACATTTGTATTTGAAAGAAGCTGAGAGGGAGACTGGCTTGACATCTGAGTCACATTCAAAATTTTCCATTTGGGTTGATGTGCTTTCCCACGAATCACTTTACTTTTAAGCTTTTTACTTCCAAAAATATCTAGATTCTCTTTCTTAAAAATCAGCTTGAGAAAAGTGTCCCTCATCTGCCATTGACTGTTTTGTTCCACTTAAGAAACATGTAGAATAGATCTCTGGGCTTGTCATGAGGGGCAGAGGTGCAGTGGGGACGAAGGCAGCCAGTCCTTGTGGAACACTGGGCAGCTGGAGAGCAAAAAGGTAGGTTCCTCGGCCCAAAGGGGTCTGTTCTACATTCAGTGGGCAGTCAGTTCACTATTACAGTATCAGCTATGGTAGTTACTAAAACCGAAAGATAAACAACTGCTCCATGTCAGATAAATTTTATCTGCATACTTAAAACGTGGATCTTCCATAAGGATTCAGAGGAGATGAAGATATAAATAAATAAATACCTAAAATAAAGCCAGATGAGAAAGAAGCCTAAAATGATAAATTGCAAAGTTTTAAATGGCCATTAAACTTGAGCAAGTCAAATGGCTACCAAATGGAGTTTCATTTCTCATTTTATTTATAAACATTCATATAAAATTGCAAAGAGAAAAAAGGGAAAATCCTTGAACTCCTGTGAAAGACATTTTGTGCTGCGTATGTTGAATTACTATTAAGTATTCACCTGTCTTAAATGGGCTCTTTCTCCAGCCTCTGCATCATACATCTTAATGTCAGTAACATCTGCAACTGAATGGTAATGTGGATCAGTGAAGATAATCACGAGTTAATAAGAGCTTCAAATCGTGCTTTGGCTAGTGTACACCCGTTAATGTATTTCTTTGGATAATTTACCAGTACAATTTTATTAAATGCTTATGCTTGATCAAAAAGTGCTTGTGTATGAAATTAGCTGCGAATCTGAATTTTTAAAAATTACCAGCGCAGTGGTTGTTTTGCTTCACGCAGTCCTTACCTTTTAGCTTGCTTTGGAGCTTAGATCTCAAAAGTCATCATTTAAAAACCATTCTTGGTTTCTATTTGGGTACGCTGATGATGATGAGGGTGTAACCTTCCTCTTTTTTACTGTCTATGCACCACAAAGATGAAAGGATGAAAAGTGGAAAACCTATGTTCTTTGCTCCATTGATAAATCTCAAGTGTGCTGGGTCTTGTGGGGACACATTGACCTTTAGTATTTCTGTTTTTGTTGCTCTTTATTTATTTATTTCGCTGCAGGATGCGATTGGTCATGAAAAATAACCCAGGGGCGATGCGGTGGGTAGTGCAGGGAAGGAGGAGGAGTGACCTGGTTTTGATTAGTTAATTCAGATTAGGGAGTAAATTCTGATTTCACAGCTGCTGTTCAGGTTCAATGGCACTACCAATTTTTCCATTTCAAGTTCCCATATATAAAGCTGACAGTTTCCTCGGCTAGAACCTTTTTTTAATGTCCCTGTTTGGCAGAGGCTCTACCTTTCCCCTGTGATTTTCAGTAGCCTTCCTCCCCTATGCAGCTTTGCCAGAGCTACTTGGTTGTGAGCTTCAAATCTCCGGTAATTCCAGTCCTAGCAGGCCCTTAAAAAATGTAGCAATGCACAGATGTGCAGTGAAAATTTTAAAATGTGCACTTTCTTTTAGGAATATGAACACTGAATATCACATAAACCTCTGATGTTCCCCTTGCCACCTTCTGGAGCTTAGCTAACCCTTCCTTCTGTGTTTATATTCATGGCTCTTAGGTACGTGGTCGGCCAGCTTTTAGTTCTCACGCTTTCCCATCTCTTTTCTTCTGTGCCAAATAGCTTACTGGTTTTATGATGTGGGCAGGGGCCAATGAGGGAATAGTTTGAGTCCACAAGCTCCATTTCCAGTCATGGCCTGGTCTGAGTTTTAACATAGGCCTTAGTTAGAGACAAAGTCTTGTTTCCCCGCAAAGCACCCTTTCACATTTTAAATAAAGAAATGATAAACATCTAAAGATCAACAGTTTTCCAAAGAAGCCAATATATAATAGTCATGCCCAGGAGCACTGTTATAACTGAAAACCTTAAAATGAGCATTGAATTGTAGCTTTATTCCATTTTGTTTTTCCTCCTCATAATAGGGTCCCTTAAAAAGAAAGAGGAATAAAAGGAGGGAGGGAAGTTTGAGAATTGAGACCGAAATGAGTCTGATCATTTAGATGTAATGAAGCAAAGAAACAGTCTTCAGTTCTGGAGGCTTTTTGTTGTTGTTGTTGTTGTTTGGGGTGGGTATGGATATGTTGAAAAATAGCTTCTTGCAACACAATTGCAAAATAAATGCCGTCATGTGAGTCTGCATTAACGTAACCAGATGAAGTGAGTATTTTGTGGGTACATGTGTGGCAGACCAATGGAAAACACCTTCCCAGGGGACTTCACATCCTTTGAAATAGCAAGAAGTAATGGATCTAATATTTTTTTCTTGTTAAAGAAAAAGCATTTGTGGTGTGTGTGCATCTTCCTCATTACAGAGTATTTATGATGTTAGAGTTTCTCCGTCTTAAAGATGGGCAATCGTCCTTCAAATTGCATAAAATCCTCATGTATTTCAGGGTTGTGAGGCCTTTAAAATGCCACCTCTTTTAAGAGCCTCGGTAATGTGAAGGATTCTGACAATGACACTGGTTTAAATAATGTACTGGTAGCAGATGGGTTAACAGGCACGAAGCAGAGCTGAGTGCATTTGCATTGTTCAGTGTCTAGCTTAGCTATGAACTATAGGAAAGGATTTTTGCATACGGGTCAGCTGAGTGGGCGGCATGTCATTGTCCAAAAGTGGTCATTTCTTCTAGGTTGGTGGATGTGTGAGTTGTTTTACTCTTTATTATCTAAAGTGTGAATAACAGAATGTCTGTCTGTGGTTGAGAGTTAAACCATGATTAAACTGATGAAGCCTTGAAATTACTGGATAAAAGGCACTGCTGTGTTTTAATAGTCAAAACAAAGAGGTAAAATGGGGGCTGTAATGAAGAAAATTCAGGCTAATGCCTTTCTATGCACCTACAGAGCAAAGCCTAAAAGATAACACCAATCAAAGTGGACCAACCTGTTGTCATCATGGCTGCCGAGGAGGCCTAACCCAGTGTTGAAGACCTTGGTCTGGAAACCAGAAATGCGGTTCCAGTTTTACTGCTGACCATTCCTCAAAGGGCCACAGGCCAGCAAAAAAAGCAATTCATATTCATGCTTTGTGCCTTCCATTTGTCCATCTGTGAAATGGGGATGACAACACTCTGCTACTCCTTTTCTCATTGGGAATTTGGTTAAATGGATGACACAGTGTGTGTGGATCAGCCTTGAGTTCTTTAGTGGAAAGGTGCTCCAGAAATCTGAGCTTGCTTGCATTGTTCGAGAGTAACAGCCATCTGCCGTGCTGTGGATGGCTGGCAGCAGGCTGCAGCACCTCCACACGCACTGAAACCGAGCATCCTCTAACCTGCCTGAAAGGCAACATTTACCATCATTGTGGAGACTCACTTTAGGTATTGACACCTTGAAGTAAGATCCACTTAAGTGCAAGGTGAAAAACAGCTCTTTTTTCCCCACATATCTTAAGTCTTCCACTCGTACAAATGAAAATAAGGAGATTTATGAAATGGCAATGCAAATCTTCACGCTAATCAACAGAGTTTAGAAAAAATCAGCTAGGAGCCCTGAACATGCCAGTGGCAAGTGTACTGTTTCAGCCTGCAAGAGATAAAGTACACTGGTGCATATCGGTTAGTCTAATTTATTCAGAGTCTTTGCCATATCACAACCTTGTGTTTGATTTTCTTATAAACTAATAATTTCTTGAATGAACTAATACTGCTACAGCCACTAGTACCTCTACCTTGTAGAAGTTTTTTATTGTTGTGTATGCAACTAAATTGAAATATCTTTCACTTGAAATATTGACTTTAATATCTCATTTGAAAAATTCATGAAGCCTTTGATGTTAAATCCATACTCAATTTAGCCAAATGCCATTAGAATATGCAATACGCCTGAATACAGAAAGCATTATTGTCTGTGTTTCTGCAGAAGAATTACATTTTATGACTGTAACGTCAGGATCTTTTTTGGATTTGTGCATGAGGAAAAGAAAGGGAAAGGCAGCACATTAGATGCAAAATGAAAAGTGGTATTGATTAGGCTCTCATTTACCCACTCTGCCTCATTCCCTAAATGCATGGAAATAAGGGTTGTGCCACTGCAACTAACAATGCTCTATAATGAATGGAACAATCTTTAGAAAATTAGTGTGAGCATGTATGATAGTGCACAGATGTTGCTCCGAGTAACTGTCATACATTTCTTTTACATCTCCATTTACATAAGTCTCTTTATTTCCTAATAGTATCATAATAGAAACATGACAATAGTTAATGATTTCATAAAACATGTAATGTAAAGGCTGTCAGAAAGGTAGAACGTTAATTGAAACCTATAGCTATACTACATTAGAATTACATTTCCTAAATGAGTCATGTTAAAAACATCCCTCTCGAACAGAGAAAGACAAAGGTATTAAAAAGAAAAACAACAAAAACGAAACAAAACTCAAGCTTTCAGCAAATTAAAAATTTTCCCCCCCAGTAAAACACAGACCAACAAATATTGCAAAATCCGCTGTGTGCTAATAGGCTGTTTTTTGCCTTTAGTAATTTATGGGCACTTTCCCCCACCCCATCTATCGATCACATTTTAAAACGTAAACTGCATTAACATTTTAGAGTATAATGGCTCCAGAAAATGTTTGATTTTTATCACTACTAAACCATCATCATGGCGCGAGCTTTGGAGTTCGCTGGTGCCGGAAAGCGGTACTTCTTTTTGAGTGAAAGGGCTGTCTGCACCGTCTACGTTTACACAGGTATTGCGTGGCGCCCTGCAGGAACAGGCTGAAGAGCCGAGCTGGAGACAGGCCGTGCTATTTCTAAGAGTGCAAGGAACACATTTACGAAACTGGGGTGAGCGGGGGAGTGGAGCAAAGATGACGGGAATGGAGAGTTCCTTACCCGATGAGATAACTGACTAGTGAGAAGACTAAAGATCCTTTGAGAAAGTCTTTGAAGCAGTCCTTGAGCTCCAGGACGAGTTAGGCCCCGGGTTGCTGCCTGCTCTGTAGCACCATCTGCTGGTCAGTCTGCGGTCTCCTGTCGGTCTGGGTGGGGAAGTGAACTGCTCTGCTCAAGACAAAGGTCACTACTGACTTCATTTTTAACATGCAGCATGTGAGTTGCAATTTACTCCAAATTGGTG